AACTTAATTTCATTTCAAAGCTTGATATATGAGTTCCACATGCTCTTAAAGAGAGATTCTCTTTTTGGTGGGATTTTAAGGAAATTTTTTTTGGAGCTTTTACCAGACAATTTAACAATTTATTCGAAAGTGTACTGCCATTGAGTAAGCAAATTGAGTAATATCATCAAACAGAAAAGGTGGCCAGAATTGATCAACAAAACAGGTGTAGTGATTTACCACGATAATGTCAAATTTCACAAAAGTTTGGTAACTCGTCAGAAACTGTTATTACTTAGATGGGATATGCTATCACACCAACCATATTCGCCAGATCGAGCACACTCGGATTATTACTTGTTCCGGTCTATACAAATTTTTTTTAACTAAGACATTTACTTGAAATGACAATGTCAAAAATCACTTGGATCAGTTTTTTTGTAAGCAACGATAAAAATTTTTATGAATGTGAAATCATGCTACTACCAGAAAGGATGACAGCAGGTATTTGACCAAAATGGTCAATATATAATTCAATAAAATATTTATTTATTATAAAAATTTTGTGTTTTTTCCAAGGAAAAAAAAACGAACTTACTTTCTGAACAACCCAATACATACAATTTAGTGTAAACTTTTTATTTATAAACAATTCACACTTAGTATTTTAAAATAACCACACGCTTTGATCAATTAAAAATTCATTGGTAAATGACATTGCATAACCATTGATTATGAAAGTGGTGTAAGTCCATTTCTGCTGTAATTAAGCACTTGGGCTGTCCATAAATTACATCTGCATTTACCTCAAAACTTTTACTCCCCCCTCTTGTCCCAGTTTGTCCAAGTTTTTGTAACCCCTTCCCTTCTTTGGATGTCCAACATAACTCAACCCCATTAAAACCTTCATTACTTTATGAGTGATAGATACCATAAGTAGAAATGAAACTTACAAGAAACTTTGGAATAAATATAATAAAATGCATAAAGTCTATAAAATTTAATGAAATAAATGGATGCCCACTAATGCTCAACCCCCCTTGTCCGACTTGTCTTAACTCCCTCCCTCCCTTCCAGTGTGGACATCATTTATGGACAGCCCCTTACAACAGAAGAGTAAAACTATGAATATTACCAACAAATGTATAATTTGATGGAATGGAAAAAAAAACCACGTAATGTATAGTCTGATGTACTTTTTAATACTGTAGATAGTCCTTAGATTATCTACACCATGGGAATAGGATAGTTGTGCTACCCAGACCTCTGTTCAATCTTTATTTCATGACCAGTTTTAATTTTAATCAGAATTAACCTATATTAGTCATATAATCATACATGTTAATTTTGAAAGTAAAGATTGGATAAACATTCAGGCAGGGTAACTGAAGATGCATCTGTACAGTATCTACATATGAATATAAACATCCAAACCTGATAGTTATATGGACCGTTTATTTTGAAGTGGTGTAAGTCCATTTTTGAAAAAAATTGAGAAATCACATAATATATTAGGTTGTTTGGAAAGCAAGTTCATTTTTTTACCTCTAGACCAGGGGTCGGCAACCTGCGGCTCGCGAGCCACATGCGGCTCTTTGGATGTGAAGCTGCGGCTCTTTAGTTCCATATGCAAATATTATTTATTTTATCAAAAAAAAAACATTTAAAAATCGTTCTGAATCGATTAACGAGGATTAGGCACTGATTCTATCTCAGACACTTGTACTCGCTTTTCACCGCACACCTCCCCGTGACACACATCTTCACTGTCGTCAGTCCGTCGGAAGCTCTCGAATGACGCCATCGTCGGATGTTTCTATTATCTAATTTGTTGTGAAAAACACTACTTATATATGAATAAATAGATATTTTTTCTTATGAATAAATAGATTAGTTTTTTTTTATCAAAAAACTTTATTTATGCGAGTACTCTTTATTGTTGGCAAGAAAAAATTTTGTGGCTCTTTAAAAACTTTGAAATTTTGTAAATTGTAATTTTGGCTCTTCCGACTCAAAAGGTTGCCGACCCCTGCTCTANAATAGCTTGTTAAAGCATAATATTTTATCAAAATATTGAAGTAACTATTAAATATTATTAATCATTTTAAAAGATATTTTATTTACAATAGTATAGTATTAATGAACATGATCATATGGCCCATGATCAATGACTTGCCATAAGTTTGTTTCGATAGCTCGCAATTCGTTTGGACAACTTTCGTGTCACTTGTCAAGAATTGAATTTTCACTTAAAATTCAATTCTTTGGATCAGTTGTGTGGTATTTTTTGCTTGCCAGCCTTTCTGGTATACTATTTGAGCCAAATATCCAAAGAAATCTTCATTTGGCTGGCATTATGGCAGATTTAATGGATTATGTTCTTTGAGTACAAAAATAATGTTTTTGGCTTTGAGGACTCTATGATTGACTTTGCATAGTGAGATGAAACTTTATTGAGTCAAAAGATGAAATCTTCATTTTGATGATGCTTGTTAAGAAAAGGGATTGGAATTTTCTTTAGACATTTGTTTTAGTACATGTTGGCATCAATTGCAAGGGAACCCTTCTTAAAAAAATAGCTTCAAAACACCTGCTGATGAAATGACAATGTACACATCTTTTTCTTCAGATTTTTTCTTAAATTTATACTTCACTTCAGGGGTGCTTGATTTTCATTGTGCACATAGTAAATTTATTTCCTGGTATTTGCATGCCAGAGAGAGAAGTACTTCTCATTGTCCAAAACAAACATTTTGTTTCCAGAATTTTTTATGGGCATCTGCATTGCATTCAGATTTCAACAACTTTTCAGCAGTTCATTCTGGGGTCTTCTTTATCTTCCCTTTCTTTGTTTGTTTTCTTAAGTGTCTTATCAGCGTATGTTTGATGACAATTGAACATTTTAGCTTCCTCTATCCAATTAACTGTATCTTTGTTGTCAAAAATTTGTCGCAATGCTCTTCAGTTTTTAGCATTCATAACTGATTTTCTTCTGCTTCTTGGTCTTATTTTTCACATTCTGGATATTTCATATTTCAAAATATTATATACAGTTGATTTGCTGTGGCCTTTGGCTAAAAAATACTCTTTTTGCCAACTTTTTGTGTGGTTTGCTTTAGTCTTGTATATTTGTACAACACAGTCTTAATATATCCTCTTTTGAAGTCTTTTTTTTTTAACTCACTCTTACATATTTGAAAACTTCATGTGCTGTAACTGAGCATGTGTAATAATATAATTTTTGGTGCAAATACTTTAAAATTATCTTTTTTTGTTCAAAAATTATGATGCTTTAAACTCAGTCCAGATTTTTTATCTCATTCCATCAGGAAAAGGCATTTGAAAGAAAAGGAATGGAAAGATAGAAATAAATTCAAGACCATAAACTTTTTTAAAAGAAAAGAACTCACTGTTGACTCCTGCTTACCATGAAGACAGGTAGCCAGTTATGCTACTTGGATGTCTGGCTGATCTCTGCTTCCAAACCAATTAATTATATATAATCATACTGGTCATTCACAACTCTGACTGCGGACAACTTATGGCTCTTTGTGGGTCTCAACCAACTTACTTTTTTAAATTAACCCCAAGCCTAGAGAGAGAGTGTGTGTGTGTGTGTGTGTGTAGTCTTGCTTGAGGCCAATTTTTTTTCCAGAAATACAGTCGACCCCCCTATAACACTGTTGATAATTCTGTTTTATATGAATTCCATGTTGTACGAGTCACTTAGATTTTACAAATACATGTGCTGGGCTGTGAATGGCTCACGTATTTGTAAAATCTAAGTGGCTCCTACAACATGGAATTCATATAAAACGGAATTATCAACAGTGTTATAGGGGGGTCAACTTGTATTCTAAATTAAATTATTTATTCCTAATTATTAAATTTAACACACAACAGCAACTTAATTACACACTTCTAGCCAAATTACGTAATAGTTAGTCTTAAATTCCCAATGAAAAGACAACAGTTTGTTTGATATTTAAATTAACATATGCAACCACCCCAATAATTATTAATTTTGTATTATTTTATTACGTATTAAATTTTAATTTAATTTTGTAGCTATAAAGCTATATTTTTTCCCCTCTAATCANATATGAACAAAATCAGAATAAAACACAATGTGTTTCAAGTGAAATTGAGTTTTACATAATAGAAATTTAATGAATTTTACAGTTCAATAATTATGAAAGTGGTGTAAGTCCATTTATGGCCCAGAAAGAATATATTAGTTTAGTTAAATTCACATAGAAGTCTTTATGCAATCAACTTGCATATTTCTAAAGTCATAGAAACATTGTCAAACTTAGTACACTTTATTTATATTTTTGAATCAACTAAAATTAAAATGTTTGAATATCTTGAAAGAAGAAAAAATGGACTTACACCACTTTCAAAATAAACTGTCCATATATTAAAGCCAAACAATTAGAACAAGCCGAATTATATCAGGCTATATTATACTATTATTATTAATTAAATGCTAAGTAATTAAATTAATGCCTCTAACACCACATTACTTAGCATTTAATTAAAATATCAATTTAATTATCATTATTATAAAATTTAGCAAGCAATGGTGCCTAATGCTTCCTCTAATGCCAAATAACAGCATTTAATTAATAATAATAGTAGTAATATAGCTCAATATAATTTGGCAGTCATTTGGCTTTAATGTATGGTGTCTAGAAAATGGGTTTTGAACCTGCTCCAGGTCAGTCTTTTCTTCCAGATTATTCTAAATTAAATATCAAATTTAAATATATTAAATAACCACCAAGTTGGAGTGGCAGTATTAATACAAAATTACAGATTAACTGCCAACCTTTAGTCAAATTATATAGTTAATTAATCCAGCAAGTAGATATTTAATTTGATATTAATAAATAGGACCAGTTAATTACATTTGAGAAAAAATTATTATGCATTGGACTTGATATATGTGCAAAGCTCTTCCAATATTGGTTGTTTAATGAACAAAAGCAGTGCATAACTGTCTTTTTCAATTTTTAAAGTTCAATAATACTATTTTTATGCATTCTGTCCTTCTATGTAAGTATGAAAATAGTATTATCGAACTTTTAAAATTTAATTATACACTTATATATTTATGAAATTAATTTCTGGAAATTCCGTTTGTGTATGCTGAAAGTGCAAAGGCATACTAATTGTACATTGATAAAGAAATAGTGGGAGCTGAAAAAAAAATCAACTAGTTGGACTGGTTCCAGTATTAGAAAAAGGTCAAAAAATCTGATATAAGTCATACTGTCTGTAATCCTTAATTTGTTGAAATAATTTTCCTTTCATAATTCATTCCTATTTTAAAATATTTGCAGAATTTTTATAAAATTACTGGAAGGATGTCTGTTGGACCTTTGGTGACAGAAATCTGCTGCACATTCTTCGTGGCTGCTCTTCTATTGCACAGATATGGAAATTGGAGTCAACATCACATATTGGTGACAATAAATGTTTTTATTGCCTGGTATTTTTCTTTTATAATAATTTTCATCTTGCCTCTTGATGTTTCAACAGTAAGTAAAATACCAATATATTAAAATACTATTTCTAGTTCTACTTTACTAGTTGTAATAATCAACCAGTTATCAATTATTTTTTTTTATATGATTACTTTTGATTACAGCTTGTTTAATTATAGTTCTAGATAAGTAAAAATATCTATATTCAGCTAAAATGTACAGGGTGATCCAAAACTTAGTAAGCATTTAAAAAACAAATATTTCAGTGAATTTTTGGCACATGGTAACAGGATTAGCATGGAAATGCATAGAAGCAAGCAGGATTTCCTCCAGAAGTGTCAAAATTAGTTCCAGTTATATCCATCAGGTGGCACTTTACCACAGATGATGTCATGCAGGTGTCTGCTTTTGAAATCGTCACTGTCACTGGTCAGCATATATTAACCTGGAGAAAAGACAAGCATTGGATGTTGTAAAATTCATATAAGATGGAGCACCACCCTATTTTGCTTTTCCTGTGAAACAGCTGTTATAATCATTGTTTGGAGAGGATTGAGTAATAAGCCATCACTTTCAGATTGAATGGCTACCTAGATGTCCACACCTGATGTAATATCTAATTTTTTCAAAGCCCAGAAATCACCAAACGTATGGCATTACGTAAGCAGAAAAATGAAATCAAGGGTTAGTTGGTGCCAGGTCTGAACTTTTAAATGGGCAAAAACATGAATGAATTTGTTCAAAAATAAAAATCAGTTAATATATAAAAAATTTCAAAATACTTGACTATGCATCAAAAAAGAATTAAATTCATTATTATGTGACCATCTCTATACAATAGTTAATAGTAATAAATGCAAAGTAAGTTAGAAAAAAAGAACTGTGCAAGTTATAAAATTCAAAGATTCTTTATCTAATCAAAAACAAATATATACAGAACTTTCCCAATACTTGGGAACTTAAATTTAGAACTAAGATAATTATAAGTTTATCTCTACAAAAACCTGACAAATAAGAAAACTCTACTATTTACAAAAATTACAAAAAGTAGTCTTATGATCTAATCTGCCTAACTGTCACACCAAAAGGAAAAGTTTTTTCAAAATCTTTGCTTGCCAATTGCACTCACTCAGGAATTTCATCTTGCTTGCTTACAGGAGCTTCACCTCATCTTTTTTCAGTCTTGTCAGGTCTTTTATACTTCCTGGTGTGATGTAACAAACAGCTGTGCCACTCAACTCATTTACATACTTATACTAACAATTATACTTATACTAACTTCACAATCTTTCAAACATTTGTCTTTACCAATCTTTTCAAAAAAAAAAAAATTCTTTTGATTTTTAGAATCATTTACAGCTGCAATTAAGAGATCATTCTTTAATTTCTATTTGGATATCACTTAATCTGAGATGCCTTAATAGATTGGCAACATAGGCAGTGAACGTGTCAATTATGATAAGACTATTATTTTTCAAATTTAGATTTTTCTTTTTCAGTTGGATGTGGAGCTTTTGTCTTTTAACAAAATAAAACATCTTAAAAATAAATAATAATGAGAATTAAATAAAAACCCCAAAAATAAAATTCAGACTTGACTCCTTACGCTGATGCCCTGCAATTTTTGATACAGGACTACTTGAAGTCATGGGTTTGTGGGGAATATCCCACATCATTGACAATGGTAAAAGACTCTATACATTGGAAGGCATCAATGATACCTTGACAAATGATGTTTCATATGGTCCATAATGTTTTCACTGATCTTTGGGTCATGCTCAGCAACAAAATCTACCTCATTGACATTTCTATGCATTTGGAGTTAGAACTATTTAAGAAGACTAAGACATAACTTTTCTCACTTTGTTTCTAGCCATTTAAACACTGAGTACAATGTTTTGAAAACGTTTGTACTCAGTGTTTAAACAGCTAGAAACAAAGTGAGAAAGGTTTTGTCTTAATCTTCATTGACATTTGCTACGATGTGGTTCTTTATGGCATTATGGATTAAAGCACCACCTGGTAGACATAATTGGAACTAATTTTGACACTATTGGAAGAAACCCAATGTGATTCTATGCATTTTCATGCTAATCACATTACCACACATCAAAAATTCACTGAAATATTGATTTTTTTTCAAATGGTAACCGACTTTTGAATTATCCTGTACTTAAAATACTATTTTATATAGTTCATTGGGACAAAATTGTAAGAAATTTCATACTTAATAAAGTAAGAGATTCTTTATTGAAAAGTAAACAAACATACATGCAAATGAAATTAATTTGCATGTCTTTTGGACAACATATGCATATTAAATTTTTATTTTGTAAAATCATACATTTATTCTATTCTTTGATATGATTATTGACCATAATAGCTAACATTGATGCACATATTTATATTTAATTATAATTTTATAGTTTCTCTTGATTTTATTTTTTGTTTACAATGAAAATTGTTTTCATTGTAATCAAAATCGATCTCGATTTACAATGAACAGAAATCTAATTTCAGGCCATCATTATATTACTTTTATCAAAGAAATTAAATATATTTAATTGTTTTAATGTGATTTAGATCTGAAAATGAATTGAAAATGTTATATTCCTAATATGTAATTGAATGATCTTGGAATACTGCAATGATTTCGTTTTTCAGTTTCAGGCATACAAAATCACTTTTTTACAAAATTATCGTACAGGAACTTAGGACACAATATGACTGAATTCAGACTTTATTGATATTAGTTGCAAGAAAATGCATTTAAGGTGTCATACTCCTCATCAGTTCACTTTTAGTACCTGTATTCTTCAAAGTGATAAAAAAACTGATGGAGGGATATGACACCTGAAATGCATTCTCTTTCAACTAATATCAATAAAGTCTGAATTCAGCCATAGTGTGCCTTAAATTCCTGTGTGATGAGTCTGTAAAAAAGTGATTTTGTATGCTTGAAACTGAAACTGTAAAAGAAATGAAACAGAAAGCTAGAATAAACAACAATAAATGATTTTGTTTTCATTAAATTAAAATATGATAAAATAATTTAAAACTTTTACCTTTACCTAAATTGGCATTTTTTTCCTTTTTACTGTAACATGATAAAAGATGGAAAATCCTAATATATTTTAAAATAGTTATAAACACATGTAATATATATTAAATAATAATATTTAATAGAAAATAATGCTATTTTTAATACACAAGAAATTTAAGGAAATGAATAATTTATTTAAAAAAATGTTTTGACAGATCAGATTCATTTTGTTCCAAAATGAAATTTTTGAACTGACGTTAGAGTCTGATGACAAGTTTCTCATACATTCATATCATTTTCAAATATATACTTTCAATTACATAAAGATGTGAATTTTTTTGGCAATTTAATGATAATTGTGTTTTAATTGGATCTAGTTGTCAAGAAAATCAGATTTTATTTATTTGAACTAATAGTCTATCACAGTGTTTCTCAACCTCTAACAAATCGTCGACCCCTTCAATGTAGTATCGCCCCCTTCATTTCAAAATTCCAATGCCGAGGACCAAGACTAACGCCAAATTCATACTGCATTGAATAGACTAGTGACTAGTATAATGTTATTTGTTTAATTATTGTACGATATAACTAATAAAATATCTAATTATTCTTAATATAATGTTTTATATATTGCCCAGAAAATTGTTTTTCACCCCCCAAAATATAAATTGTTACTAATCGCCCCTCAACATGGAAAAATGCCTACATGGGGGCGATATTGCCCCATTGAGAAACACTGGTCTATCAGATCACAGCTAAATAAAAAGGGCTTATCACATCAGGATGAGATTGAACCAGACTCAATTATTCAAAGATAACTTTTATTAATATGGGAATTCATTTTGGGTACACAGACCCCCCTCATCAGCTCGTTTAAAGATTAGGCATATGGCAGTAAACACAATAAATATCTAAACTATTCTAACAAAACATAGTTTACAAATTGATATTATAAATAGCACAGTGCATTGTGTATACAATTACATAATATACTAAATTAAAACTAATTAAAATTGTACAATACAATAATAAAAACAATTGATGGCACTGTTATCTTCATAAAACATAATATTGGTTCTATCAACAATAAATTATTAGTTACATCTATGACTTAATTTTAATAAATTTAAAAAAAAATTTTTTTATTTGGGTAACTTACTTTACTCAGTTTAATTTTTCTAACCCAAGTTCTTTCAAAATAACAGATGTACTATACATATACCTCACCTGACAATGGACTTTGAATGTGCTAGAGAATAATTTGTACATAAAGGTGAACTCCAGAAAAGCAGTTTGTCTCCTATGTTATGTTTATTTTGTATATATGCATATATATAAATAAAGCATGTAATACACACACACACACACACACACACACACACACACACACATATATATATATATATATGTGTGTGTGTGTGTATTACATGATTTATTGGTTTTTGCAATAGTTTGGTCAATAATTTATTTGCATATTTATAATTTATTTGAAATGCATTTCAAACAATGATGCTACAGTGTTTTTATTCAATGAATTTTTTTTATTCAGTTTTTTTATTCAATTCAAACTGTAGCATCATTCTAGTTGTCATTCAATTTAAAACAATAGTTCTTTGATTTATTTTTTAAATGATTTAGTTACTTTAATCTAAGGTTTTAAGTTAAAGTTACTGAATATCTAAAAAAATTAATGAAAAGTAATGACAAAAATAGGTTTATTGAATTTTTAATTTAAAATAATAATTTTTTTTATTACAGAGACATTTAGTTAGATTAATTCATATTTAATACTCTAATAAAATTCAAAATATTATCTAATATTTTAATAAACTAATTTATTAATTCAAAATTTTTATTTTACAGACAGCTTATCATCAATGCATTAGAAATTCCGAATCAGCTACTACTGTTGTTCCAGTTACAGAAACTACTTTACTTCCAAATACTTCTTTTAGAAATAGTACTACAAATATTTCTATTACTCCCACAGAACCATATATATCATTACAAGGTAATTAATAGCAGTAAAATTATGATAATTTAATATAATTTCTTTTGAATAGTTTCTAAACAAAAAGTATGAATTACAAAAATTTAAAAAGTATATATATATAATCTGATTTCTAACAAGGTTCAAGTCCTGCTATTTGAAGTTTTATTTTAATTTAATAAATATGTAATTTATATATATTACAGCATTTTTTTAATCAGAAGTTATTTTTTTAATAAATTTAGATAATTAGAAAAAAACCTGTAAAATTAGAAAAATAAAATTCAAATTGTTACTATAAATTTTAAATAATACTTATTCATTGTTAAAATATAAAATTTAATTTTTTAAAAATATTTATGCTTGGATTTTAAAGTAGATTTAGAATGTGAATATTCTAAACAGGAACAGATTTAAATACAATAAATGTTATAAAACTGTATAAAACTTACAATTTTTTAAAAATTTAAAATGCCACAGTTTGTCTTGTCTTGTTTTATTTAAAATTTTATTATTTTTTGAAAGGGGAAAAAACCCCAGATGAAAGAAAGAAAAATATATAATGGGGTTAGACAAAAATCTGAACTGTTTTTAGGCTGCAATTTTTGAAAACTTCATACTTTTCAAAAATTTCCACTGGCATCCATATATCTGTCTATTGTTTGTTCTTCCTTAATCTTGAGAATGGAGTTAGATAGATGAAAGTTGATCAGATACAGAAAGCTTATGGGGCATTAGATCCTGGTTAATTATACAAACTTCTGATGCAAACCAGAAATCACGTTATTTCAATTAAAAAATTTTCCTCCAAAAGGTGTTAGATAGATGACCAGCACAACTCTATTGCTGATAGGAAAAGTATGATGTACAGGGGCAAGCCATTACTAATTTGAGGTGGATAGCATATATTTTAAATTAAATAAATTAAAAATTGCAGCCCAGCATTATGACAATGTCAAAATAAATAATAGCTTGTTAAAGCATAATATTTTATCAAAATATTGAAGTAACTATTAAATATTATTAATCATTTTAAAAGATATTTTATTTACAATAGTATAGTATTAATGAACATGATCATATGGCCCATGATCAATGACTTGCCATAAGTTTGTTTCGATAGCTCGCAACTCGTTTGGACAACTTTCGTGTCACTTGTCAAGAATTGAATTTTCACTTAAAATTCAATTCTTTGGATCAGTTGTGTGGTATTTTTTGCTTGCCAGCCTTTCTGGTATACTATTTGAGCCAAATATCCAAAGAAATCTTCATTTGGCTGGCATTATGGCAGATTTAATGGATTATGTTCTTTGAGTACAAAAATAATGTTTTTGGCTTTGAGGACTCTATGATTGACTTTGCATAGTGAGATGAAACTTTATTGAGTCAAAAGATGAAATCTTCATTTTGATGATGCTTGTTAAGAAAAGGGATTGGAATTTTCTTTAGACATTTGTTTTAGTACATGTTGGCATCAATTGCAAGGGAACCCTTCTTAAAAAAATAGCTTCAAAACACCTGCTGATGAAATGACAATGTACACATCTTTTTCTTCAGATTTTTTCTTAAATTTATACTTCACTTCAGGGGTGCTTGATTTTCATTGTGCACATAGTAAATTTATTTCCTGGTATTTGCATGCCAGAGAGAGAAGTACTTCTCATTGTCCAAAACAAACATTTTGTTTCCAGAATTTTTTATGGGCATCTGCATTGCATTCAGATTTCAACAACTTTTCAGCAGTTCATTCTGGGGTCTTATTTATCTTCCCTTTCTTTGTTTGTTTTCTTAAGTGTCTTATCAGCGTATGTTTGATGACAATTGAACATTTTAGCTTCCTCTATCCAATTAACTGTATCTTTGTTGTCAAAAATTTGTCGCAATGCTCTTCAGTTTTTAGCATTCATAACTGATTTTCTTCTGCTTCTTGGTCTTATTTTTCACATTCTGGATATTTCATATTTCAAAATATTATATACAGTTGATTTGCTGTGGCCTTTGGCTAAAAAATACTCTTTTTGCCAACTTTTTGTGTGGTTTGCTTTAGTCTTGTATATTTGTACAACACAGTCTTAATATATCCTCTTTTGAAGTCTTTTTTTTTTAACTCACTCTTACATATTTGAAAACTTCATGTGCTGTAACTGAGCATGTGTAATAATATAATTTTTGGTGCAAATACTTTAAAATTATCTTTTTTTGTTCAAAAATTATGATGCTTTAAACTCAGTCCAGATTTTTTATCTCATTCCATCAGGAAAAGGCATTTGAAAGAAAAGGAATGGAAAGATAGAAATAAATTCAAGACCATAAACTTTTTTAAAAGAAAAGAACTCACTGTTGACTCCTGCTTACCATGAAGACAGGTAGCCAGTTATGCTACTTGGATGTCTGGCTGATCTCTGCTTCCAAACCAATTAATTATATATAATCATACTGGTCATTCACAACTCTGACTGCGGACAACTTATGGCTCTTTGTGGGTCTCAACCAACTTACTTTTTTAAATTAACCCCAAGCCTAGAGAGAGAGTGTGTGTGTGTGTGTGTGTGTAGTCTTGCTTGAGGCCAATTTTTTTTCCAGAAATACAGTCGACCCCCCTATAACACTGTTGATAATTCTGTTTTATATGAATTCCATGTTGTACGAGTCACTTAGATTTTACAAATACATGTGCTGGGCTGTGAATGGCTCACGTATTTGTAAAATCTAAGTGGCTCCTACAACATGGAATTCATATAAAACGGAATTATCAACAGTGTTATAGGGGGGTCAACTTGTATTCTAAATTAAATTATTTATTCCTAATTATTAAATTTAACACACAACAGCAACTTAATTACACACTTCTAGCCAAATTACGTAATAGTTAGTCTTAAATTCCCAATGAAAAGACAACAGTTTGTTTGATATTTAAATTAACATATGCAACCACCCCAATAATTATTAATTTTGTATTATTTTATTACGTATTAAATTTTAATTTAATTTTGTAGCTATAAAGCTATATTTTTTCCCCTCTAATCAAACTTAAAATTGATTAATAATTTAAAAACTATTTATTGGAACAACTTACTTTTATTAATGACTTTTGAAAATTTTAAACTTTTTAAAATAATTTATTTTGAACATTTGAAAGATTTAATTTTATGGAAAAAATTTATTATAATTATTTTAAAATCACTGTAAATGTTAATTATTATTTTTTTAAATTTCAGTTAAATTCAGCCTCAATATTTTTGTCTTGTTATAGTTAAAAATTTGTTTTAATAATTGACAGAAGCTCCTGAAAATCCTTGTCAAGCTCCTTGGAGCCAGATACCTGAAGGCGTTTTGCCTACATTATGGAGAGTTGTCTATTGGACAGCACAAGCACTTACATGGTAGGTGATAAATCTTTCAAAAAAGGTTATAATTTTTTTCAACATTATGTACAGTTTTATATTGATACTTTAAAGCAGGGATGGGCAATCTGCGGTTCTCAGGCCACATGCGGCTCACATTAATATTTTTTGCAGCCCACATCGCATAAAATATGAACAAATATATCAATTTCCTAGCTTAAGGAAGTATGCAGCAAAAATTCAAACATTATTTTTTTTACAACTTATGTATGTGAATAGTTTTTCTGCAATGAATTTAGTAAAAATTAAAACAAGAAACCAGCTAACAGACACATTGAAACTAATTTAAAACTAGCAGTGACTAATATTTAACCAAATATTTCCAATATATTACATTTACATCAGTTCCAGAAGCTAAACTAAGTATACCTATGCTAATTTGTAATTATATATGAATAAATAATTGTGATTTACCAGCAATTTTTTCCTCTTTTCTCTTGTATGCAGCACACATTAGTTCAAAAGTTTTCAAGTACAGCCCTTACATAGCAAAAGGTTGCCCATCCCTGTTTTAAAGTTTCATTATGTATATAGTTGAAATGAGTTATTTTAAAATAACAATATATAGAAAGGAAATGTTATTAAAAGTATAAATTCATTTATCATATTTGTCTTATAATCTTTTTATTATACAGAGTGGGCCAACGAAAACGAAACGGCAGAGTAATCGTATTCGTCCAAGCAAATCACTTGGACAGGTCGATTTTATTCTCAAGGGGGACATCTTCAGCAATAAAGTTTTTGCGATTCTGAATACAACAGACAACAAAAAATTTAAAAACTCATTCATTTTTTATTAACTAAACAAACATTTATTTCAAATAAAGTAACAAACATAAGAAAAAGTTATCAAGTATTCAATAAATGTTCGAATTGAGCACCACATCTCTGTCGATTCATTTCTTACTGGACGTTCACGTCCGGGGTTGCGTCTTTTGTTAACTGAAACTTTTGAACCCATTGCCACAGAACTTGTTAACTGAAACTTTTGAACCAAATCCAGAACGTATTTTGCATTACAATATTTGTTTGGATAGCGTTGATTAAATAAATTTGTAGTAAGATAAGCATTCTCGCGATTTCTGAAATGAAGAGTTACTATTACTACCCTTTCAGCAATTGTGTAAACCATAACGCTTATGTTGTAGAAAATACATAATAAACAAATAATAATCTTAAATTCCGATTGAATCATTAAGTGGTCAAGCTCAATGTGAACACTACAAAAAAGAACACCTGGAAACAGATAACACATTATCAGCCTTAATTTTATGATCCATTTTTGACTTGCATATGTGGTCCAGCTTAAAATGTTTTTTTATGTTTGTTAACAGTTTGTGTTACTTTTCTTCCGAAATAAATGTTTGTTTAGTTAATAAAAAAATTAATGAGTTTTTAAAATTTTTTGTCGTCTGTTGTATTCAGAAGCGCAAAAACTTTATTGCAGAAAATGTCCCCCTTCGGAATAAAATCAACCTGTCCGAGCGATTTGCTTGGATGAACACGATAACTCTGCCGTTTCGTTTTCGTTGGCCCATCCTGTATTTAAGTATTAATGATTTGGTATTTTTTTTATTATCTTTTACTGTTCTAAGCATCCATTGTTTTTTCTTATTGGGTTTTTGTTTTCAGTTAAATTTAACTCAAAGCAAAATCCATTATAAGCAGTATAAAGAAATGTCATTGTATTTTTATGTTTATCATTAAAAAGCATTCAATTTTATTTTCAGCATAGAATAAAATTGATAAGTCTATACAAACGCTGTCGGTTTTTTCATATTTCCTGAAACGTTTGCTGTTTCATTCCTCTCTAATTTAAATATTTTTCCTGATCCTATTATATAAAAATTATGGAATCTTTTAAATTGAAAACAATTGTTTAATCTTCTTTTTTAATATAAAACTGAATTTAAGTTTCTTTCTCTTTCTGTTCAAGTATTACATGAGAACAGTTGAACTGATTTTTATGAAACTTTGTACATATATTCAGCAGTGGCGTGTCATCATTGGAAGCGATGGATGCGCCGCTTCCCTTGTATTTTCTAAAAAATAAATACATATTAATTTTAATTATATGAAAATAATTGCACAATATTTTATTATAACAGCATTATGTATCTTATTACAAATTTCTATACTACGAGTGAAAAAAAAGATAAGATCGCTGTTGTATATTCGAATAGTAGTGGCAGAATGGAATCGTCAGCATCCAAAAAGCCAGATTCATGTACGCACTTTACAGAGCACCAACCTCACTCGGTTTAGCCTCGGGTGGATGCTACACGTATACCGCATCCAATTCTATCCAGGACCGGTTCTGGGCTGTTAGCCTCCTGCCCACTAGATATTTGGCCACCCTCGCCCGATTACGCGAATCGCAAGTAGATTTATAACTTAACCCAACCCAACCGATAAGAATTTACTGGTATGTTTTTATGATAGTTCTGTATAGTTGACAGGAGTTTTAAAAAAATCCTTTAAAATATTTGATATTTTTATTCCACTCTCCAATTTTATATTACTCACGGATTTCAATGTTAAACTGGATATTACAATTTCGTATATCCCATATCTAAGGAGATGTAGAAAAAAATGTGGACAATTCTTATATGTTAAAAAATTAACTGTTACTTCGACAGCATCATTTACAACTAAATTTAATGAATGAGAGAGATNCCAGAACGTATTTTGCATTACAATATTTGTTTGGATAGCGTTGATTAAATAAATTTGTAGTAAGATAAGCATTCTCGCGATTTCTGAAATGAAGAGTTACTATTACTACCCTTTCAGCAATTGTGTAAACCATAACGCTTATGTTGTAGAAAATACATAATAAACAAATAATAATCTTAAATTCCGATTGAATCATTAAGTGGTCAAGCTCAATGTGAACACTACAAAAAAGAACACCTGGAAACAGATAACACATTATCAGCCATAATTTTATGATCCATTTTTGACTTGCATATGTGGTCCAGCTTAAAATGTTTTTTTATGTTTGTTAACAGTTTGTGTTACTTTTCTTCCGAAATAAATGTTTGTTTAGTTAATAAAAAAATTAATGAGTTTTTAAAATTTTTTGTCGTCTGTTGTATTCAGAAGCGCAAAAACTTTATTGCAGAAAATGTCCCCCTTCGGAATAAAATCAACCTGTCCGAGCGATTTGCTTGGATGAACACGATAACTCTGCCGTTTCGTTTTCGTTGGCCCATCCTGTATTTAAGTATTAATGATTTGGTATTTTTTTTATTATCTTTTACTGTTCTAAGCATCCATTGTTTTTTCTTATTGGGTTTTTGTTTTCAGTTAAATTTAACTCAAAGCAAAATCCATTATAAGCAGTATAAAGAAATGTCATTGTATTTTTATGTTTATCATTAAAAAGCATTCAATTTTATTTTCAGCATAGAATAAAATTGATAAGTCTATACAAACGCTGTCGGTTTTTTCATATTTCCTGAAACGTTTGCTGTTTCATTCCTCTCTAATTTAAATATTTTTCCTGATCCTATTATATAAAAATTATGGAATCTTTTAAATTGAAAACAATTGTTTAATCTTCTTTTTTAATATAAAACTGAATTTAAGTTTCTTTCTCTTTCTGTTCAAGTATTACATGAGAACAGTTGAACTGATTTTTATGAAACTTTGTACATATATTCAGCAGTGGCGTGTCATCATTGGAAGCGATGGATGCGCCGCTTCCCTTGTATTTTCTAAAAAATAAATACATATTAATTTTAATTATATGAAAATAATTGCACAATATTTTATTATAACAGCATTATGTATCTTATTACAAATTTCTATACTACA